ATCTCTAAGCAAGTCAGTAACATATTTGGTCTGACTGAGATACATACCAGAGTCACTGCGTGCAATTTGCATCCCTAAGAAATATTGCGCAAAGCCTAAATCCTTAATTGTAAAAACCTGATCCAAAACCTGCTTAACCTTAGCAATTTCACTGTCATCATTCCCAGTAATGATGATATCATCAACATAAACCAGCAACACAATCATAAAACCATTCCGACGAAAGACAAACAGGCAGGAATCATAATAGGATTGAACAAAACCATACTGAAGCAACAAAGAAGTGAATTCACTATTCCATTGGCGGGAAGCCTGTTTTAGGCCATACAGGGACTTCCGAAGTTTGCAAACCTGATTGGGTTTAGCCGTAACATAACCGGGAGGCGGTAGCATGTAGACATCCTCATCAAGATGACCATGTAGGAACACGTTATTGACATCAAGTTGATAGACATTCCACCGAGAAGTCACAGCCAATGCTAAGAAGACTCGGACAGTGACAGTTTTAGCAACCAACGAAAAGACTTCGAAAAAATCTTCCCCTTCGATCTGGTTGTACCCCTTTGCCACTAACCTAGCCTTATACCTGTCAAGTGTTCAATCAGAATGACACTGAACCCGGAAAACCCACTTGCATCCTATTGCCTTTTTTCAAACAGGCAAAGTGGTGAGTTCCCAAGTTTGGTTATCCTCCAAAGCTTCCAGTTCTTGATTCATAGCAGTGACCCATTTCATGCTTGTTCGAGCTTGATTATAGGTCTGGGGTTCATGTAAGTCTGACAGATTTGCCATAAAGGTCATATATGTTGAGGAAAATAAAGAGGAGGGAGAAGGAGAAGAAGCAAGAGATGGAGAAGAAGAAACAGTAGGTTGATCAGAGGATTTCTTGAAAGGTTGTACATAGTCCTTTAACCAAACAGATGGCTGTGTGACTCGGGAACTTCTTCTTGGTTCTAAAGAGACTTGTGGAGATGCATGGACAGAAGATGAATGAGTAGGAGAAACTGGAGTCGAAAGTAGAGGAGAATGTATAGGAGTTTGATCTAAGGGTGAGGATGGAGATGGAGAAAAATCAGGAGGATCATCCTCAAAAATCTGAGTACACGAAATTTCATCAGAGCCGTCAGGAAAAGAAACAGGAAGCACAAGATCTGAATTTAAAGAAACACTGGAGGATTTGTAAGGAAATAGATTTTCATGGAATAAAACATCCCGAGAAACTATGATCTTTCTAAGAGTAGGACTATAAATTTTGTAACCCTTCTGCCGTGATGGATATCCAACAAAAACTCCCCGAACTGACCTAGGATCAAATTTATCCTTTTGGGGTGTATGACTAACAACGAAAGCTAAACAGCCAAAGACCTTAAGATGTGCCAATTCTGGGGGCTTGTTGTAAAGTAACTCAAAAGGTGTTTTCCAGTCAATAACAGAGGAAGGAAGTCTATTGATGAGAAATGTGGCTGTAAGAATTGCTTCTCCCCAAAACAATTTCGGCAAAGAGGATTGAAATAGTAAAGATCGTGCCACCTGAAGTAAGTGTCGATGCTTCCTTTCCACCACGCCATTTTGTTGTGGGGTATAAGGGCATGACCTTTGATGAATAATACCAAGATGTGAGAAAAGCTTTTGAGTTTCAAGACTCAAAAACTCTGAACCATTATCAGATCGAAAAATCTTAACAGACTGGTGAAACTGAGTTTGAATGAGATTAAAGAAGTGTTTGAGGGTTTCAGGAACTTGTGTTTTGTTCTTGAGAAGAAAGGTCCATGTAGATCGGCTGAAATCATCTACGATTGTTAGAAAATACTGTGCATGAGTAAGTGAAGGCTTATGATAAGGCCCCCACAGACCAACATGCACCATTTCAAAGATACGAGTAGATTGAATACTGCTGAGGGGAAAAGGCAACCTATGTTGCTTAGACAGTGGACATATTTCACAAACAAGAGGTGCTTCTTTATTAAAAAAGAATTTACAAGGTTCAAGATACTTCATCACAGTATCAGAGGGATGCCCTAATCTGCTATGCCAAGTAGCAATGCTCACATGAGCAGAAAATTGATTATTCGCAGAGGAACAAGGATTACATGGAGAGGGAGTAACCTTCTAGAAACAGACAAAACTAGTCTTGAATACATAGCTTGAGATTTAAGAATGGCTTCTTCTGTGAAGGAATATGACGTGATGATGTACAGTTCTTTGACAACTGTGCCTGCTGCAAGGACCTTGTTAGTCTTGAGGTCCTGTAACAAGCAGAAGTCATCAAAGAACTGAAAGAAAATCCTGGAAGTTTGAGCAAGTTTACGAACTGAAAGAAGGTTATGTTTAAAGGAAGGAACATGTAGCACTGATTCTAGTGTAATACTTTCTGACAGAACTACATCTCCTACATGTTCTACTGCCTTTATAGTTCCATCAGGTAAGTATACAGGGGTATAGGTACTAACTGGCCTAGGATTAATAAGAGTTTTAAAGGAACAACGCATATGACCTGTGGCTCCCGTGTCAGTTACCCACACTACACAGTCAAAATCAAGTTGAATAGAACTGAGATATGCAACAGTAGAGCTACCTGCAAAGTCTGTGAAATGAGCGTAGTTCACCATATGCCCAGATCCGCTTTCTGTCACTGCTCCTTTTCCTTTCAGAATTCTTCCAACTTCTGCCTGCACCATGCTTGATAGAACATTCTGCCAGTTTCCTGTACTGAAATCCTGCCGCAAAGAGGAATTTGCTGTTGTCTGTGGTGTGGACTGTATTGGCAGAACAGTTGGCTTGTACTCTTCTAGTTCTAATGGTGTATCCACCTGATGTGCAGAGTGCGCGTTGGAATTGTTCGGCCCCTTCTGCGTTCCCCACCATTCTGGAAATCCCTTGATCAGAAAGCAATCTTGTACCAAATGTCCATTTCTCTTACAATTTATGCATATTAACTTCATCTTTTCCTTCTTGGACAGCATGTGTGCACCTCTCGGATTCAGATTCTCCTTTCCTTTCTGTGTTTGATTCACTACTAATCCCTGTGGTTTAGGAAGCAGCCCTCCCTTGAAATCAGTTGAAGGTTGAAACCTAGAAAGAAGAGCAGAATTTTCTGCCTTGATCATCAAATTATTGCTGACATTCTTTTGAGTTTCTTCCTTCAAGAGCATTGCAAATATTGTGTCAACATCAGGCAGGGGTACCATTCTGAGAATCTCATTTCTCAATCATAGCAATCATTCAGTCCCATCAGCATTTACACTTTGTCTTCTGTATCCCGTTCATCAATGTGCTTCTTAGCATCACATATACAATGAACTGGTGGCCTCCAGTGGTTATGTTCATCCCACAGCTTATTGAGCTATTAAAGTACTCAATTATATTCATGTCAGCCTGATTTATAAGAGCCAGATCTCGTTTCAACTGATATACCAATGAACCACTGGTTTTTCCATACCTAAGAGCTATTGTATCCCAAAGCTGCTTAGCATCCTCTATAAACATGAAACTGCTAACTTGTGTACTATCAATAGAATTCAAAATCCACGAACGAACCATACTATTGACTCGTGACCAACGCAGATAAGCAATTGAATTCAGTGGAGGTTTAGAACATGTTCCATCAACAAAGCCTAATTTTGCCTTTGCATTCAAAGCAGTAATCATAGACATCCTCCACATGAGATAATTCTTAGTTGTCAATGGATTGCTTACCAGCATCATACCCGGATTGTCAGATCCGTGGACATGTAATTGCTCCTCCATGAACAACTCCATGTCTCGATCAGCGTTCCTCTGCCTTGAGGTAGTACGATCAATTCCATCAGCTCGATTTTGATCATTACCAACTTGAAATCCCTCCGTTCACAATTGTCGATCGCGACTTGGTTCTTCGTGAAACGGTTCCATTTCAGGAGATTAAGTACTAGGTTTTCTTGCGGAAGGTGATATTTATCAATTTCTAGGCTCAGATCAGGCAGGATTAACCTGCTCTGATACCATGAGCAAGATCAGGCTAAAGAATGGTGAGCTAGGGTTCTTCGAAGTGAGAGAAGAGAGAATTGGGGATTTTGGTTTACAGTTTATCATAAACTGAGAATTAATATCAATTGATTACCTAATTTCAGTATGTACAGTCCTATTTATAGCTCACTACATATGTACAAAGACTGTTATACCCTTATCACATATTTCCACTATAACACTAACCAAAGGGTATATCTGAATATATACATTCAACATTTGTAGAATCTTCTATACAAGTGACTACTATATTTGCATCACATGAATCAGCCGGATCAACATCATCCTTTGATTCCTTCAGTAACTTTTTCTAATCTGTCTTAAGGCTTTTTTGGGCTATGGTTTTGTTTTTGGTTGGTAGTTTAAGATATCCGCCTAAGGTCCTAGAGTTTTACTCTTTTTTGGGTAAATTACTTTTAATTTCCAATTCCATGTCAAAAGCCCTTCTGTTTTGCAAAGTCCAATTCATATGTCTGTATTAATCAGTGTTTAAGGTATGTGATAGATTTTGAGTTTGTAGGCCTTTTTATCAGTTGGTGAATTTGGTGATAGAACATGGTTGGTGTTACATGGAAGTGATTAGAAAGTTTATTTTGTTATTATTCATCTATAAGGCTTCTTGTGAAACCCCAAATGCTTGTTTACTGAAATGTATACTCTCTTGTACAGTGCAACAAAGTTTACTGTTTTTCCGAGAAGGAGAGAGAGGTATTATTCTGGAACCTGGACATTATTTAGCATTTGGTCTTTATTTGGATGCTAAATTATTTGATAGAATGCAATAGTTTTGATAACATTTACTCTCACATTATTAATGCAAGCAGTTTGAAAGGGATTTTTTATTACTTTCTTCGTCCCAAATAAAATAATTCATATTAAGTTTTGAAATTTATATTAAAAACAATATAAATATGAAAATTCAATTTGTACTTTTTTTTTTTTTTGGATAGAGATAGTACTATTTTGGTGAAGCAGCGAATCCTTAAGCATGTATACTACTTAATCTTAACCATCTTCTTTGTCAATCCACAACCAAGAGCTTCACGGGGTACCTTACGAATACGGTCAACACCTTCAGCAAAAATTACACCCATTCCCATATGAAAATGTGATTCGATATGACAATGGAATGGCCATACCCCTGGATTTCTTGCTACAAACCTCAAAGCAGCCCATCCAAAAGGAAATATCACAACAGTATTTCGCAATGGCGGATTGTTCAAGTTGAATTGTTTCTCATCTTCCGTAGCGAATTTACCATCTCCGTATCCCAAGACCCAGAAATCGTGCCCGTGCAAATGCCACGGATGGATTTCGCTACTATTATCGACTAATCCATTTGCATTTTGCAGTATCACATCAACTGTGCTATTGAAATCAAGCTTATAAACACCGTTACCATAAGTTCCATTAGGGTTTGGAGAAGGCTTCATTATATCATAGTCGACAGGATAGCTGTCGGGTGGACTTTTGGGATCGAACGCACCTTTTACACCATACCTAATTGATCCCAGGTATGGAGTTGCTGGTGGGACAAATGACACATTGTTTATCGACCATCTTACATATCCATCAACAATGTTAAGAGTGTTTAGCATAATAATTCGACGATCGTACGATGGTGGCGGTTTTGGAGAGCCAACTAGAGCAAAAATCTTGTTTGAAAAAGTCTTGCTATGGTTGTAGTCATTCCAAGGTGGGGAAATTGGTGGTCGAGAAACTGGAAGTTTTGAAGATGGAGTAGGTGAGTAATTCAATATGGTTAGGGCTTGAGGGGTTATTGGTTCTCTTCCTCTTATGCTAAGAGATATCCAATAATTTTGGGAAGGATCTTGATCAGTTCTGAATAGAATTGAGTAGCTTTCACCTGAATATATGTCCATGTTATCCACCTCAAACGGTTCTATGTAGTTTCCATCAGCTTCAACAACCACGAGCTTGTGATTCTGGGGGAAGAGAATAAAAATAAAGTATTAATTGTCAAAGCTTTTCTTTGTCTTTTAATAATTACCAGAATTTTTTTTTCTTTTAACTATCGAATAATTACCCCAATAGCTAAATTGAGTGAGACCACAGAAGTGGTACTTGACAACCTTAGTCTATAGGTTTTGTTTGGTTGTACATGAAGGATTTCGGGTGCACATTGCTCATCGCCTCTTAGTTGACAAGACGGAAGATTTGATGAGTTATTGCTGAAATGAGCTGCCAGGGAGCAATTGTACTGCCCTCTCCCATTGATTAACAATGTCTACAAAAAAAAAACAACAAAAGGTAAGATTAGTAGTTCTTAATCATTTTACACGGAGCCATGTTTCGCCATGTTCACTAATTTAGTCCGTAAATGAGGCCGTTCTAATCGGATATGTCAAATGATTTAGTGGTCTGGTCATCAATGTAAGATATCTCGAATATTTAATTGCGATTTGATTAGATTAGGATTAGTGTTTTGCCATGTTGAATTTTGACAATTATATGATCCAATATTTTTATATTGCGAGGCACATTATCAAAACCTCTCCACCAAGAATAAATATACTTATAATTTTCGTTAGCATTTTATTGAAAATATAAAAACATACTAAAAACATTAATAATCGCATAAGAGGGCCCTGCAAAGATAAATTTATGTCAATTTTACAAACAAAGCATCAAAACGTAAAATTAAAATGTCAGAGTTTTGTGTTTGTACCCAAAAATTAAATTAAAATGTATAGTGACAAAATTCAATCCACTTGAATAAGTTTCATGATCTACTACCACTAGAAGTGCAGCTCGTTCCTATCCATTACTGTCTATTAAAACTCCTAGTAAGTAATGTGTGGTTTTAAGTTGGAGAAGATACTCAAAAGATAAATTAGAATATTTGTTGAGCCACGTAATTTGGAAGAAATTTCATAATGTTGTGGGTTGAATAGTTAATTCACTACTTGTGGGCTGAGGAGTAGTGAATAGTTAATTCACTAATCTAGTTACAGTTAAAACCACGGTCACATCATTATGGAGTTTCTCATAGTTTAATGCAGTCTAATTTTTAAAAACAAATGTAAATGTTAAAAAAATATTAGTAGTAATAAATCTACTTTGAGTAACTCATGAGCAACATAATAGGCTCAAACCAGTTACTACTCACTTGATTTCTTCCTGTTCTAACTAAAGAAAAACGGAGTTTATGAATTAGGTAACAACAATAAGAATTTACTATCTTTCTTTGCAAGTAATCAGTGATATTTTACCTCTGGTTCACCAATCCAACGAAATGGTTTGGAAGAAAGGTCAACCTCTTGTTCTTCCGAGCCTTTGTGCCACCAATCACTTAATAGTAGATTGAATTCACCATCATAATGGAATGGTTCTTTTTCACCTTTTGCAACATCAACTACTAGAGAACCATATAGCCCTGCTGATCTTTGCATCCCATAATGTCCATGGTAGAAGTATGTTCCAGCCTGTGGACATACACACCAAATCTTAAGCATAAAAGGGAGGACAAAATGCAAAATGTTAACTGACGACACATAAAGCATTGAATTGACCCATTTTGTGAGTGAAAAATGCCAATTAAAGCGCACGGTAACAGTAATTTTTTCTTCAAATACTTACTTTATCAACTTTGAAACGATAAACAAAAGTTTCTCCTGGATTAATTGGGCATTGTGAAACTGATGCCACACCGTCAGCCCAAGGTGTTCCAAACTGATCCATTTCAAGAAATAAAAATAAGAAATGAAAATAAAAGTGGGGGTTAATATGTGTGAATGAGAATCCAAAGGATCAAGAAAGTTAATTCCAAATGAAATCATAGATTACCTAATTACCTGCGTTATGCCATGCCAATGAATAACGACTCCTTCAGTTTGGAAATTATTCGTAAGCTCCACGATGATGGTGTCTCCGGCTCGGGCTCGGATCGTTGGCCCGGGAAATCGGCCGTTAATTCCGATCACCAGATTTCCTACACAATCCGGTGACCAATACATATACTCAACTGACCATTTTAGGTGATGAGTTCGTGTTCCTAAAGCTGAATGAAAAAGTGTAAAACCGAAACAAATGATAATGTAAGCAACATTTAAGTTGACTCGAGCAACCATTCTAGCAACAAAAAACCCCCAACGGGAGAATATTTATATATTATACAATAAATTCTATCCTTCTATTTAATGTTTCTAATTAATTCACCTTTACAAGATCTTTTTCTTTTCTTTAATTTATTTTCTTTTTTATTATCGACCTGTTCCAATTCGATCGATACAGAAGAGAATACAGCTAGCAGGCTGTCTTTTAATGGAAAAAGATAACATTAAAGTCTATCATATTTAATATCCTCTGTAAACAAAAGAGATACCACTAACCAATTTACATTGATATTTCCGTGTAAAAAACTCGGATAATCTAAACCAGGAACAATATCCACGAGGTTGAGTAGGAGGTCAGATAGAAAGGGAAACTGAATTGAACTACTTTTACCTGCAAGTTTTGCAAATAAAAATCAGCAACTAAAATTGCCTCGCAATAAACATGGCCAATAAGAAAAAAAATAGTAAAAAATAAAATATCAGCAGTTGCAATGACACCCTTCTGGTATCCAAGGGTTTATCTTTAGCTTCGTGTGTTTTAAGTCTGTTGGTTTAAATCTAATTGTTCTAGTCTAACCAAGGCAGGACTTTGTATACGCGTCAACAAAATGCCAACTAGCAAAACACTCAACAAAGTGAAACCCTGGCATTTCAAATCGCAATTCATGTCAAGAAGCAACAAATCATCTCGTCAGTCTTTTATCATAAATGATTCGGCTACTCATGTATCTATATGTATAACTAAGACAAACCCGAATATCTTTTTGCGTCACCAAAGACAATTCATAAGTATCATTTTTATTCTTTTTTTTTTCAAAATGATTAAACACATATCGTCGACTATAATTCTTATTATTACGTTCTTTAAAAATAAAAAAATAAAAAAAAAGTAAAAACCCTTATTACAAAATTGTCGCTGCGATCATCCAATTTTATAGGAAAAAAATACTTGATTAGTAATTCCTAGAAATTGAAGAAAGTAGCAAAATTCATATTTTCCATATATCTTTTTAATAAACCAAGAGTTTGCTCGATAAAAAAGGAATGAAAGGAAAAGTCAATCACCTAGCCGCCTTAAACGTACCGCCGTATAATTATCTAGTTTATAGAAAAAAAAATCACTAGAGAATTTAGAAAAAGTAAAAACAAGAAGGATAAGAAAGAAACACAGTTTTAATCTTTTTTTTAATGGATAAAAGAGCTTCATTCATTGTACGTTGAAAGTTGTCCAGCAATTGACTGAAGACCGTAGGAATGTGCGACCATGTAGTACATGCACTATCAATACATTTTTAGCCATTTAAGTAAACTTGTGCACTGTTGTATTCTCGTGACGTCAGATCGGAAAAGTCCTTAAAGTAATAATGATGAGAAGTGTTGGAGGTGCTGCGAGAAATAGGATGGTAAGGGACTAGGAGGATTCATGATGATATTGGTTTCTGCACTATCACCGGCGCAGAACTATGGGGCTTCTTTCAAGCTTTATCACTTGCATGGGAGATTGGTGGTTGTAAGGTGATTGCTGAGGTGAATAATGTGAGTATTATCTCCATAATCTAGGGAGGGAAGGAGAAAGTGGGGATGAATGCCGGGTTGGTAATCAATGGGAGAGCTTTTGAAGCGAGAGTGGACGGTAGAACTTAGAAGTCAAACATGTCTTTCGTGAGCCAAATTTTGTAGCAGATTACTTGAGGGCATTGACAGGACAAGGGCCAGGTGGTGTGCAATGACTACAAAGCTCTATCATCGGGTACTCTGCCATGGTTGGAGCCTGATTTAAATGGGTGAGCATATTCTCGAAATGTACTATTTTAACTTGATGTCACCTCTATCTTTGTAAAAAAAAGAAAAAGAAAAAAGAAAGTCCTTAACGGATGGGTCACATGGTGTAAAACATGAATAGACTCCAGGACCGGCTTTGAGTTGTTTGAATCTATAACTACTTCCTACGCTTCTAGAATGGGATCGAGTGAATCTCCCATAATTGAGAAATTGATCAAATTGCATTATGTTGCTAGCAATTATGCTTCCATTAATGCTGGCGATTCCGCCAGTTCCTGATCTTGGTTCCCTAGGAATTTCTTCAAATTAGAGTTCACAAAATTTCCACTGTTGTTCTCACACCATACTCCGGTTCCAGCACATTTGTGGAGTCAAGAAATGGCTCCATTAAACTAGACTTTCGGACCATGCGGAGCTCTACCCAGCAAAGTGTGCAATTGAAGTGATGTAGCAACCTTCTCTGGCCAATAGTGCACATCAAGAAAGTTTCTACACATACTCCCTGCCATCGAAACAGTTGCATTTGAACTCAGGGTCTTGTTTTCATGTATCACCTTATTCGACCTATACAATTAAGGAATGTAACTATCATCTCGGCATTATTTTCCACAATAAGTATGATTAAATTTTTTATCTCTTCACTGCCTCTAGGTAACCAACAACTATTATTTCCTTCTATTGCAATAGGAATTTATCCTCTCTAGTGTTTGAACAAAATTTAGCTCATCATCGCAGGTCAAATCTATCAAAATTCAACGGCCGTATGAGTCTTGCAAGGGATCAGGTAGCGCGCGTGATTCAAACCAAAAGTAACCATATGAAGGGTCGCTATTATATTCCGATTGACCATTGCAAGAAGGGCAACAACACAACAATGATCACCGTTGCAAGATAGAAACTGACTTTATGTCGCTAAAATGATCACTAGATGGGTGATCGAACGATCTATGATCACTAAATTTTTCCAGTCGTGGGAAAATTGTGGATAATTACCCATGACATACCCACGAAACACCCATTTTGCGTTGACCAAAATGGGATCCACCAAAAGATTTGATTCCTCCACGCATTTCCTACTCGTTACCCACAAATTTACCCACAACATAGTTTTGTTGGTAATCAGTGGGTAATGATTTCCCGCAAGAAAATTCTCCACGTATTACACACAAAATTGTTCGTGGTTGATTAAACACGATTTCTTTGTTGTGGGCAATCTGAGGGTAAATTTTCTTATCCACGATTTACCCACGAAAAAGTTTGTGGTTAAAGTAGTTGTGGGTAATTCGTGGGTAAGTCGTAGTAAGACCTAATGAAATTTTATAAAATTTGGCTAAGCGTTGAGAACGGTGGTCTTTAAAGACCACGGTGGTTTTAGTTACCCACGACATCGTGGTGGGTAACTCGTGGGCATTTCGTGGGTAAATTAAAATTACTATTTTTGATTGATTTTTCTTTAAAAAAAGAAATGTGATCTTTAAAGACAAGAAAAATAAGTAAAGGTGGTTTTTAAAGACCACGATGGTCTTCAAAGACAACAGTAGTTTTACGTAACCACGAAATTATTGTGGGTAAGTCGTGGGCAAGTTGTGGATAAAGTCCAAAATTTTTTATGATTGATTTTTTCTATTAATAATAGATATAAAGACTAAGGTGGTCTTTAAAAACCACGGTAGTTTTAATTATCTACAACCACTTCGTGGGTAATTTGCGGCTAAGTTGTGAATAATTTACAATTACTGTTTTTGATTGATTTTGTTCTATTAATAATAAATAGAGGTGGACGGTGGTCTTTAAAGACCATGGTGGTCTAAATTACACATGACCATTTGGTGGGTAATCTATGGGTAAGTTGTGGGTAAATTGAAATTGTTATTTTTGATTAATTTTTTTCTATTAAAAATAAATATAGGTGGTCTTTAAAGACCACGGTAGTTTTAGTTGTCCACGATCATTTGGTGGGTAATACGTGGGTAAATCGTTGGTAAATTGAAATTGTTATTTTTGACTAATTTTTTTGAATTAAAAATAAATATAGGTGGTCTTTAAAGACCACGGTGATTTTAATTACCCACGATCCTTTGGTGGGTAACTCGTGGGTAATTCGTGGGTAAATTGAAATTTTTATTTTTATTAATTCGACTATTAAAAATAAAAAAAAGATATCTCTATAATTATGAATGGATATGAAAGTATGAAGTTTTAGATAATGAAAGTATGAAGTTTTAGGTAATTAACTAATACATAATAGACTTTTCATCTAATGTTTAATCAAAAGATATTCAATAATACATGTATATCTAATAGATATACGGTACTATGTATATATATCATTTCGTACTAAAGAAAAAGTTATCCTATGCATATGTGATATACGGTACTATGTATATATATTTAGATACATTTGTCATAAATATAGTATTTTTGTACTTTTAATTGCATATGTGATATACAGTGTTAATTAATTATGAAAATAACTATTAAATTTATTTACTCTTACACAATCATTAAGTATATATTAACAATGATCAGTTTCAAGTGAACAACTGATCCATGCTAACAATAATAATATAGTAGTATTAATTTTCAGTTATCAAATAATGGATATTGTCTGTGACATTAATGATTTGACAAGTACTCGTTAATTATATGCTATTAATTTATAATTAATAGTAAAGTTCACTAATAACATCAATTTTTTGAAATAATTTTTATTTTCATGTTCATTTATACTAAAGTGAAACGTCAAATTGGGACAAATTTTGTATGCTTGTGTATATATCATACTATTTGGGTTAAAATTAAAATACGAGAATTATTTATTAAGGGTGTAAATGAAAAAAACAATTCACTACCACATGGTTCAAATAAGAAAAGAAATATTAGGGTGGCTAGTTTGTAATTATAATAGGGTCAATATAAAATCTAGTCATTTTTTATGTGCACAAAAAAAAAAAGTCAAAACAAGAAACATTGACTAAATAAGGCCTAAAAGAAACGGGGGAAAAGTCCCGCTGAAACCAAAATTTTTTTGCGCTTTTGGCTAAAACCCACCCCGCTTTTGGCATTGTCAAAAAAAAAAAAAGAAAAACCCCGCTTTTGGCTATACCCCTAAGTTTGTCTTAAAACTTAGCTATTTTTCCCAATTTTTTCCTTAGGCCTTCTTCGTTCCCAAACTAGACGAATCTGCTGCTGTTCATCAGACCCAAATCTTTCCAA